ATAGTAATACTAATAGTATTAGTATTACTATTAGGTGTATTACTATTAGTATTACTTAGAACACACAATCACGAAACTGTGCCTGTGCCTGTGGTACGGCGTGTTCTTACCAGTTAGATGAAAAACAGAGGTTGTCGCGGCAGTTAATTACGCTCATAAGTTGATAAATGTTGTTATCCTAACACGTAAATGACAGCATAACATGAATTTAACAGTAAAACGGTTAGAAAACCATTTGATACTGTGATAGGTCTCACAGTCACAAATTGATCATCCCAAGTGCTTACCATGGTGCAAAGAATTCTACAAGTACTACGTCTTCTTCCGCCACTCTCGTGCTAAAATCTGAATCTGTATACTCTAGGACATCACTTGCAACAGCAACAGACACAATTGCGAGGAATAACGCCAAATATTTCTCCATTTTTAAAGACAAAACGGCAAATATTCAACCGAGGTAGAAGGCGACGACACTGCGACAGGGGTTGCGGGAAAACGAGTGACAGCGTGGCCTGTTGTGGCTTGCGCTGATTGGCTGACGGGAGATAACGCTCACATTCCGGTTATGACGTCGATGTTACGGCTAAACAGTACCTCCCGTAAGTAGGCTACCAGAGCGCAACCACTGATCTCTATAATATAATCGGGTTATATTATAGAGATCAGTGGAGCGCAACACGCACGTGGGCCACAGATAATGAGATATATCTCACAGACCACATAAACATCCTACTAGTACTAAACACTCCTTCTTATATTTGCTATGAAATCGTAGGATTACGTCCACATTTTGACGCAACTGTCTATATATTTCCTTTATTTTGCGTGTGACGAGCATTTTCGCGCATGAAGCGCAAACCCTGCCAAACTCGATCCATACATATATATATATATCTTTGAAACCCTGGCCGCGCTAGAAAAAAATGCTGCTATATATTATATGTATTTTATTCTGTTTCCTAGTTTTCCAGAAAATTGCATTATTTAAATAGCAGTTTTTTTTTACAATTTTTCCCAGGAGGAGCGTGGACAAATGCCACCGGCACTCCACCTTTGCTACAAAAATAATATATGGCACGTGCTCATATAGCGAAGGGACACTTGTCGCATAATATCCTTGTCATAACTCAGATAGTTAACGAATTTTTTTCATTCACCCTAGGACATGCCGTTCGCCCTAACGTGCCGGCAAACCCAGTGTTTCACTTTAATGGTTATATATAATAAGGGCCCAATGTGCGTGTATTTTCTCATGCTGTAGCATGCAAATATATATGACGAGATCTGTGTTATAGCGCACCTCAAGTAAATAAATATAATGCGTAAAATCCTCACAAATTTCCTGTTTGCCGATACCCAGTATTTGTCAACAGAAAAAACCCAATTTTTAAAGTTCAATATTTAAAGAAGAAAGCAATCACTCACCCGGAGTTTGACTGAAAATAGTTGACCCGAAACTCTTACTTTTTATATTTGCACATGCTCAAACGAAATGCATATATTTGAAATTACCAATTTAAAGTATAGAACACATATTTACGATTAATTTACTATAAAAAATAAACATTACAGACGATAACGCCGTAACTTAATTTTATACACGTACGACGAATTTGTTAATTGCTTGCGAAGAACGATTTTATTGATTAGATTTACCACTCCAAACATCTATACACAAGACAGGTGTCAATAACAAATTCAGATTGGTTACAAACGCGATTTGCTATGTCTGCTTGGCACGAGACAAACCTCGCAAGAGCCTAGTGCACACACCAGACATTCACCGTCCTTGCTATCCGATTTACAAGACTGGCTTTAGATGGAAAAGTAACTATTGCCCACTGATCACTGTAGCATGAACCTATGTGTACATACTAGTTCTATATATGCATATGTTCATGTTTGTAGGATGTCGATACAAAAATAAGTCAGTAAGATAATATGACCAATGTGCGCCCAGACTCACCACTCGCGTTTCAGCCCACGTTTAATAGTTTTTCTTTCTTTAATAATACTTTGGCGTTTGTCCAACTGCACAATCATCCGTGTAACCAGGCAGTTTGATTTTTTTATGTCACTTTTAACAAAGCAAAATAATTATCTAAAAGGATAAACACTCCAGTTCATTTCCTTTTAAATTTTTCTTTACATAATTACTCGTCAAACATTACACCTTGCTATTTCAAGTACTTATATACATTACAACTAGGAAACGTGCTACGGTATGGATAGTTCTTTAAATTAAACCTCGAGGAATACATCACGCATGTGGCCATGTGATTCCATGTGCCAACACCATTCTACATAACAAAAACTCTTTATAGTAAATAAGGACACACAACACACCACAAACTCTCACCGGCAGTGGCTTATCGTTATTCTCTCACAATTTACGAATGTCCCAGGCAGCACGATAGTATTGCAGACAGTCAGTGCCACTATACATACGGAACCATCCGACAATTCATTCCTGCCTTCTCTCATCCAGTAATAACACAGCGACACATTCTCCAAATAAGGAACAAAACGTAAAATGCACCGTCATAGCTAGCTGCTTTCCTGCTTGGGTCACCTATTAGTGTTGCACCATGCAGGCCACGTATTACACCATTCCATTTGAGAAGATTGACGAGGTACGGGGATTTGTTTCTATCGTGGCTTGTCAGTTATGAAATACTGGCCATTCTACATCCTGAATGCATCAGCACACGGGACAGGTTTCATCTCGTTATCCCCGCAGCCCCAGTGCAACACACTTCCCATTTCAGCATGCAATTTCACTGCCGAATACGACACGAACACTACGGTTCCTTATCCCTCCCTCATGCTGCTGATGACCACGCTTTCCCACGGTGCCAAAACGTTGTGTTAATACGGCATATAATTCAGCTAAACGCTCTCGTATTTGCATGTAAACTACTACAGACGTTATACCAAGAGTACATGAATCTCTCTTTGTTAGTGTACTCCTGTTCATACTAAATTGTATAGAATTGAGGTACTTTTTTTTCGGAGACATTGCAAGTGCCGATCACATGCAATGCTCAGTTTGAATGGCATGCTTGTCCATGCAAGCAATACAGAAACATCCCCGTACAAAGCTTCGTATGATCACGAAGCAATGAACGCTAGGACGACGACAAGAGAAGCATAAAGTTGCGGTACCACTATCTACACTTACGCAATTATACAGTTTAACAGATTGTTCCCCAGCCACAAAACGGCAGTTTGAAGACGTCAAGACATTTGTAATGCTTGAAAAATCGTGGGGAGGGGGAGGGGGCTCCGACATCTACGTGTTAACAGAAATACTGGTCCTGCACGCACACGCATACGCACACACGCACGCACACACATACGCATGCACACACAGGTGTGCGACAGCACGCCCAAGCCTCTTTTCACTCGCAACCATTTTGCAATGTTCAGATTTTTGTCGCGGCATTTCCAAGTGCCCACACGCCTACCGAAACCGCAATTGCCGCTCGAAGCCACGCCACATTGCACAGCCCAACATTGCGACAGCGTAGAATTCTGGCACGCGCACACAAAAACCAGTAGAGTACGGGCACCGTCGGTAGAGACGAAAAGTGCCAAAATTTTGTCTCACGAATGACCAGAACTCACTACCGCTGCCAGTCGGTCTACACCTCGTGCGGTCTCACGTTCGCTCCCCCGCCCCGCGTCCTGCCCCACCCCGTACCGCACCCGGCCCAGCGCCGCACCACGCGACTCCCCTAGTTGCCCGCGGCCTGCGCCTTGTCGTCGGATGAGTCCATCTCGATGCTGCCCGTCGACTGGATGTACGTGGCCTTCTTCGTGCCGTTCACGACCTCAGCGTCGATCATCACCTGCGTGATGTCGGATCCCGGAACCTCGAACATCGGTTCCAGCAGAATATTCTCCTGCAGAGGAACAACATGGCGGTGATTAGCGGTGGAACGTCGAGGGCAAGCGAAAGTCAAGAGCAAATGAAGTTCGAGGGGAAACAAAGGTCAAGAGCAAACGAAGGTTGAGGGCAAACGAAGATAGAGGTCAAATGAAGGTCGAAGGCATATGAAGGTTAAAGGCAACGAAGGTCGAGGGTATATGAAGGTTGAGGGTAAACAAAGGTGAAGGGCAAGTGAAGGTGGAGGGCAAACGAGGGCCAATTCGGGTTGTAACTTTTTGTGTGTGGCTTTTTCACACGTTTTTACACCAAAAATGTTAATTAATACCACGCACATATACATTACCATGAATACACACACACAACAGTACGATATACGTCTACGAGTACGAATGCCACAGCACAATGCGCATCTGTGAAGAACGGGCCACGGCGATACGTCGTCGATGAGAAATCGAAACCTACGATGATGGCTCGGAGTCCTCTCGCTCCCGTCTTCCTCTCCAGGGCGAGATGAGCGATCGACTTCAACGCGTCCGTCTTGATGGTCAGATCCACCTGAACAAACACACATCACAACATCATCATCTCCTCCACAACACACTCACGAGGCGATCGTAGATAACCCAAAAAACAGGATCCATTCACGATATCCATTCTACTGTAACAATGGCGAAGGAAGTATGGATTCTGGATTCACGCACTGCCACGGAAAAATACAATTTAGGAATCGAGTAACGGGTTGGGATGAATAAAAAAAACTGATGATGGCTCTCAGACTCTGTATATCTCTGTACCCAGGAGTCTGCCACAATCCTGTAGCCATTCTGAATAGCATATTTACTCAATTAACTTGAAATATCCAAAAAGTGAAGGTTAAAAAAAACAACTTAAAATTAAAAACCAAATTCTACCTGAATACAATGCAGGACAACCTTACACTCTCCACATGAATGCAATCCAGACAAACCTAGACTGCCCACATGAATGCAATCCAGACAAACTTACACTATCCACAATGCAATGCTAGGCAAATCTTACACTGTGCATTACGAGTGCAATGCCAGGCCCGAACTTACGTTGTCCATCTTGAAGAGCTTGGAGAACTGAGGCACAAGCGCGTTGCTAGGCTCAGTGAGGATGCGCATGAGCATAACTTCGTCGAGGCAATGGAAAGCCACGATCACGGGAAGACGGCCGACGAATTCCGGGATCATTCCTGCGGTAAAAGCGGGAAGCGGGGATGAGAATCTTACGTGACCAAAACTAGCGCCCGCAGTTTCGCACAATCTTGCAAATGCAACCTTGTCGTGATGACGATGAGGAGTGATGACAATAAAGCGAAAACACTACAGGACTATAATGAATGTACCTACGACTATTCTAGCAGGACTAGCCGACTACGGAGCAACTCTGCTCTCTAGAAACGCATGACCATCAAAATCACAAAGCAATGGCGTATAAACGTAAATGCATACAGTAGTACAGAGAGGCAGAGAGAGAGAGAGAGGGAGAGAGGAGAGGGAGAGAGAGAGAGAGGGAGAGAGAGAGAGAGAGGAGAGGGAGAGAGGAGAGAAAGAGAGAGCGAAAGTGAGACAGAGAGCGAAAGTGAGACAGAGAGC